ATATATATATATATATATATGAAGAGTTATTTACTTCTCTCACACAAATTAACACATTAACTTTAATGCTTCACATCATGCCATCTAAACTGAAAAGCTGTGCAATAGCAGTACACTGTCATGCAAAATAATTAGTTAAATTAATGCAAAATAACTACATGTTGTTACCATATACTGCTCAATCATTCAAGCATTTCTTAAACATTACAGAGCTACATTAAAGTCACTCTAAGCATCTAAATCAGCATATCTAAATAATATAATCAGAAATCTTAAAGCCGTGTTTTGGAGAAATTGCGTGTGGTTGAAGAATGAGTGCCTGTGGAAGTTTGCAAAACACTGCTTACTGCAGCTTTAACAAGCATTCAGGACCCTATTAACATATCATTTATTGATGTAATGTGCAGCCTCACTATCTGAGTGGGTGCTTGCTCCAGGGGATTTGTGAATAATTTTATATTGTAGCATACAACTTAAGTGTGGTTTCACCTCTGGTTAGCCTATAGACAAACCCAGCTGCCCTAGCAAAGAGGATTGTGGTTTAGAGAAAACACTCTGCTGACACAGAGGTCCTCAAAGAGCTCAGAGTGCACATAAATACATGCCATTCAGAATCATTTCCACAAACCTCCACCTAAGCGCTTATGGGAAAGCACACAAAGAAAGAAAATGTAGACTCTATTTGGCCGGCTCACTAATGCCTGACCATTCTAACTCACCAATTTAGGTCCACTTCAGCCACTTAAGACATATCATATCCTAAACCCCTAAATCCTTAGTCATTTCCATATGAGCCCTGAGCTCATTATTCAGCAGTGATGTCATTTTCTTCCCCTTATTACTGTGCTGGATGAAGCCAAATTCGGTTGTGTCTAGATGGTAACCTTCATTCTGCAAAAAAAGTATCCTGGGTTGGGTTGCACCAGCCCACAGGTTTAGTAACTACTAGCAAAGACTTTAGAAATACCAAGATGGTGCACTCATATTATTATGAATAGGAGAAAGTGCAACACGCAATATGGTGGAATAAGTCCCGTCTACTAAATAAGGAGCCAATCGACAATTGGTAAAATCAATGCATCACTGCAAGCTGCCGTTAGAAGCTCTGGTTATCATAGAAACAGTAAATGTCCAGAGATGCACGCTTAGGACTGCACATGCACATTGGCTGTAAAGCCCGAAAAATAAGATTTTTTAAAATATTTGAGCACAATAATTTTAAATATGTTTAAATGTCAGTGTGACAAGCAGCTTTGAGATTTCAGGATTTCCCCATTCAAGTAGATAGGAATTAGTCTTGGATACACGAAAAATCTACCCAGGGGTGTTGCAAATAATAATACTGATACCAAAAAACATAAGAAATTCTATTTATTTATTATGACTTATTTTACTTTGACATGCACGTGGAGGTGCTTTGTTTAGATCGTGTTTGTGTTGAGGATTCGTCAAGTCATTTATTCATATAATGTTCTTTCTCTGAGTGTAACAATATCACATATATTTAAAGAACTGAAGTTTGTCAAGTAGCTTATTGGGGCAATTCAATCAGTCTGCTGTTTTACTCCAACCATTACTCCCGGTCGGAGACTTTATTTAGTTTATTTGTAGAGTTACGTTTCAACTAACTTTAATGGTTAAACGCAAATGTATTTTGTAGTGCGCAAGTTACATCGTAACTCAGTTAAATTAACTTACACACAACTGGTGCAACCAGCCCGTTTTTTGAATGGTTTCTGGAGCAGCAAACCTTTTTCAATCACATGGCGTCAATGAAAAATGGTTGGCTTTCAGATAATGCTAATGTATGCATGAGGACACAGCACATGCCTCATTTGAAGTCTTGACATGTAGATCCATACCAGTGATTGCTGAGCGTGCGTCCTAGGAGAGAAATTGCGTGTCATTTATACACTACAGGAGAGTAAAACCCCAAAGATCCTATAATGAGATTGGACAGGCTGCAGATGTTTCTCGGCATCAGGTACATTTTCTGCTCTCATACGAGACACCGATTTGGGAGCCATCAAAAAACAACCAACAAGCAAACCAAATCCATGTCGGCACCCCTGATGTTTGTTTGCTTTCAAAATCCAGATTAGGAGTGAGAGATAGATGGAGAGAGGGAAAAACTGAGATCACAATCGCTTAGGTCTCCTTTGCACCAAATGCTATCTACCTGCATCTCACTGCCAGAAAACTGCCATAAATCCACGCTTGGCCAGCAGCTCTTTTTGGCCCTGCACCCCTCAGGGGAGGGATGAATAGGAAATTAGAGCTCGCAGCAGCCCAGGGATCTGACACAGGAAATGGAGCTAGTCATATAGTTCTGCTTTTATCGTCCTGTAATAAGTTCCAGCTAGCTGCACATTGAGGGTGCACCAGTGCACTATATGAGATCAGTGCACACTATGGAATACACACTCGCCTCTAGTGGGGCTCCAGTATTACAATCACAGATCAGTTTCGGTTCAGTAATTAGTGTGTTCAGTGTGCTTACACTGATAAATGCATATAAATAAACACTGGATACCATCAAACACATTAGAGCTGGGTAAAAAAAAAAATGCAATCTTCATTTAAATTATCTTGATATTGATTCTTAAAATTCTATAATCGATCTATACCAGTGTTTCCTGCATTGGCTTTCAGTGGCAATGCACGAACAAACTCATGCAAGTAACTGAATCTACCACCTTTTAGCAAAATACGGCATGTTTTATGCAGATAAAAAGACTGTGAACTGCAAAATAATGGCAAGAAAACATGTCTTTCTATCGCGTTATCCTCACTGGGTGCACGTGAAATTATATACAGCACCACCAGTGTAACCAGCGATTCACAAACAAATCTTTTCGAGTCTTTTCAACCAATTATTTTTAGTGAATCAAAAACAATCAGCACAACCAGTGTAGTCTGATTCACAAACAAAGGACTCTTTTGAGTAGTAATTTGTTTGATTTTTTTTTTATGTTCGATTAATCGTTCAAAACATTTTACTGTTTGAATCTGTCTGATGGATCCTATCAATATAATAAGTAATCTTTAGTGATAGAATATTTAATAAAAAAAATAATGAATATGTAATGCTTATGTATATTTTGCAAAATGGACATAAAATAAAAATTAAATATGAAAATTTACCAATTCAACTTACCAATGAGACATTTTTACAGAAAAGATATTATGCGCTTCACAGTTAGGTTAGAAAAGCTATGCATCTCTTTCAGAACTGGCCTCACATCATTCAAACTACGTACACAAATGTCACCACTTGCCAAAAACATGGGGACAAGCAAGATAAACAAGCACAATAAATGGTTGAATTAAAGTTATTTTTGGCAGCCAACATTTTGAGTTTGGAATCTTGGAATAAGGATATATCAATGTAATTTCCCAAAGCTGACATCCAACAAAATGCAAAACTATTTTAAAGGGGTCATATGATGCCCATTTTCCACAAGTTGATATGATTCTTTAGGGTCTTAATGAAAAGTCTGTAACATAGTTTGGTTAAAATTTCTCAATGGTAGTGTAAAACAACACCGTTTTTACCCTGTCAAAAACAGCTCTTTTCAGATCAAGCCGTTTTTGTAGCATTTCCCTTTCAATGTTAATGAGCTCTGCTGACCCCGCCCCTCTTTTCCAAGCTGCTCATTCTGTAGATGAGGCTGGATCATGAATGATTCGCGCGAACATAGACGCATTTAGGCAGATCGGGGGAGCATTCCCTTCAGAAACAAATGAAATCCACAGCAAGTTCAGCGGCTCACATGTCAGGAGTAAATGACGACTGCTATGTTCATTATTACATCCAACAACAGAACACCTCAATCGCTTAGGAGTCATTCTTGTCCACATCTGCTCCGGCGGTGAAACAATGGCGGACTGATGACAGTCACTCAGGGCGGGTCTAAGGTAAGACGCCAGTCCAGTCTGTGCTGAAACGCTACTGTCAATCAAACGATCGTGGGAGGGGCCTGTCTGTGTGACGTCACACAGACAGGCATCTGAGATCGGCTCGATTTGAGAAAGGGGAAAACATTTAACCAGATAAAAAAAAAACACTGGGTGGATTTTTATCATTATATGGTGGTTGTGTACACACACTGCCAACACACATTTCAGTTCAAACAACTTGTAAAAGTGCATGTAGCATCCTATGACCCCTTTAACCAAAGTAGAGACAATGAGATCTCCCATTGATACAAGCAACATACTATAGAAATATCACTGTAACCAGACTCCAAATAAACAACAGACCTCCAAGTTTTTGAGGCTAAATTCCTTTGTGGTTTTGCATTTGGCTGTGCCTCTGCGGGGTCACATTTGGTGTCAAGGCAGTAAATTTGCCTGAAGTTCCTTAAAGATAATTGGATAAACCGGGAAAAGAGGTCTTCATCCACAGATTATCCACAGTTTATAGACTGTCTCCATTCTTGGCTTTCCAAAGTGCTTTCTGATCACTCTACGATCTGTTTTTCATTGGCAGGAATAGAGGTTGTCCATGCTGAAAAATTGCATCAATTAACCAACACACAGATAACCTTAACTGAAACTCAGGGAATTCAAACAAGACGTCTTATCGCCGACAAACCTTCCTCTAGTTGTTTGAGTTAACTCAGCCCTGATTGAAAGTAGACAGACTCGTCTTTCCTAACTCAATTTGCCGTAATAGATTAATGAATCTCAGCTGAGTGTTGCACTTCACAGTGAAGATGCACATTTATAGACACTGACCTGACTGGATTGATGCGGCAGGGCGACCTCTGATAAAAACAGGCCTCTATAAATAGGCCGACGACGTGTGCTTGTTTGTGTGGGCCGGAGGTCAATGTCAGGGCAGAGATGAGTGATTTAGACAATATCACTTACTGACACAAGGATCAGCACTGGAGTGTTTGGGAGAGGACATAATCTTGCCTGTCAATCCCTTCTTTTGCACTGGGTAGAAAGGGTCTATATGAGCTCAGTGATGAATGTGTTCTCACTAGACACTGTTAACGGTCAATCATCTCCTTTCTAGTGTTCTCATTGACGGGGTGAGAGCGCCGAACAGACACCTGGAGTGATAAACAACCTCCATTTAGAAATGAGAAGCATGTACGGCATGAAATGATACATCAGCTATAGAGATTAATTACTCTTGAGAGCTTTTAAATGCATCTGTCTTTTTATAGCAAACGTAGCACCAACAGGCTGAACAGCAAGGTCAGCTTCGTATGGTGGGCAGGTAGGGAAGATTCTGGATGGGAAACACAGCTCAATATACTAATTCCACACACAAACTCACATCTTATTTCTCTGTATGTAACAGCACAGCCAGAATCAATTTGCACATGCAATTCCACGCAGTCGTCTTTAATATACAAGTAACAAGGAACAGTGAGGATGTTGTAGCTAATTAGACATTATTTATAGCGCCAACCACTAACACTCAGCTTCATTACACTGTGACCTAATGAGGCTGTCGTAACCAAATGCTGGAAATCTTAACATGTATTCATTACTCAAAGTTCATTCCAGTAACTTTTTATTTACATAAACTAGATGCAGTAAATTCTAAACACTAACCATAGTAGATAGATAGATAGATAGATAGATAGATAGATAGATAGATAGATAGATAGATAGATAGATAGATAGATAGATAGATAGATAGATAGATAGATAGATAGATAGATAGATAGATAGACAGATAGACGTTTGTGGTCAGTAAAATTATTTTCTTGAAAGAAATTAATATTATTATTTGGCACAATACATTAAATTAAACAAAAGTGACATTAAAGGCACATATGATGTTACAAAAGATTTATATTTTAAATAAATGCTATTCTTTTGAACTTTCAATTCATAATTGATGATTATTGAATGTTCATGCCACACCGAAGACTGGAGTAATAGCTGCTGAAAATGTGGCTTTGCTAACACAGAAATAAATTGCATGTTAAAATATATTAAAATAGAAATAGTTATTTTGAATTGTAATACTATTTCACAATATTAATAGTAGATAGATAGATAGATAGATAGATAGATAGATAGATAGATAGATAGATAGATAGATAGATAGATAGATAGATAGATAGATAGATAGATAGATAGATAGACAGATAGACGTTTGTGGTCAGTAAAATTATTTTCTTGAAAGAAATTAATATTATTATTTGGCACAATACATTAAATTAAACAAAAGTGACATTAAAGGCACATATGATGTTACAAAAGATTTATATTTTAAATAAATGCTATTCTTTTGAACTTTCAATTCATAATTGATGATTATTGAATGTTCATGCCACACCGAAGACTGGAGTAATAGCTGCTGAAAATGTGGCTTTGCTAACACAGAAATAAATTGCATGTTAAAATATATTAAAATAGAAATAGTTATTTTGAATTGTAATACTATTTCACAATATTACGTTTTTTACTGTATTTTTTATCAAATAAATGCAGCCTTGCTGAGCATAAGAAAGCCTGCAAAGATTCACGCCTCTCAAGATGGGCTTGTCCAATGAGGAAGTCCGGAATCTCAAGAGAAGATCTCTCTGAGATACTGGGGCATTTTATGGCCCTTTGTTAGCATGGTAATTTGCATATGAAACTTGTATAACAATTATTACAGACTCTTAGAACACTACTATGTTGCGTAGGTGTAAACATACATTATACACTCTCAATTAGATCATCCGAATACGAATTCATAGATATTAACATGGTAGAGTTATATATATATGTAAGCTGACAGGAGTGTGTTTCGATTATAAGCCTGCATAACAGTATACAATTTCAAAGACAAAATACACGATGACAATAATATACCCAATGACCTGAAGGATCATGTGTGTTCATTCAAAGAAAGGTTTTCCTATTAATTAATTAGCAAAGAAAAGTCCTTCCCTTGTGGATTTTCCCTATGGGCAAGGAAGCGATTTTCTTCACCTAAATTCCAGGAGGTCGTAAATGTATCGGGTGTCAGGGTTACCATGGAACCAGGGGCCTGTTCGGCTTCCTGGGGTGTTACAGAGTATTTGTTAAATCTAGCTAACAAAATATATATTGTGTGTTTGAGTGGTCCAGACGCTACATGACTATAAAAAATAAAAAAGCACAAAAATCCTACCAACCCCAAAATATTTAATGTTGTTCATGTTGATGGATGGATGGATGGCACTGTTTAAAAAAAAAAACAACAACAACAACGCACATTTCAAAACCTGGGCACTACCTAATGAGACAGGGAGAAGCAACTGAAAGAGGGGGCGGGTCTTGTCTGCCCTTCACCTCCTTCATTGATTGGACAGATTGTGGGGTTTCATTAGGACTCTAAGCACACACCTGCTGTGAGATCAGTAGGGAGGACGTGTTCATTCCTCCATACAATCACAATCACTGAAGAATACACAGGCTATTATGATAAACAGACCCTGCAAACTGACCCCTGGGAGTCACGGTCTGATATCCAACAGTGTTAGCATTCAAACAATCCTGTGTTCTCTAGTTTGACATATCACAACCACTGCTCTCATTCACATATTAGATAAACAGAGCTCTATGGGTTATTTCTATAACACATTTTAAATGGCCTGTTGTTCTACCTACCACACATTAGACCATAAGCTTGAGCAGAGGATGCACGTCAAACATAATTTACTTTACTGATAAGTGGATTTCAATTGACCCTGCTATTGAGATGTATTTTATTACGAGTATTTGAATATATTGATGGCCCAGCTGCCTTCCCATGTAAACAGGCAGGAATAACACTGCCCGAGAGATTTTCCTCTGTGTCTTTCTTTCTCGTGACTCTATACCTGACAAGCTGCAGTGTTAGAGATAGCACACAGCTAAATACACAACCCACACTGAGTCTCAACCGCTCAAATAGATGCTCCTTCAACGCAAACTGCCTCATCCGCTGTAGGATTCTCACCATGACCGGCACCGCTACAGTATACTCTGCTGGAGCGGAGCTATAGAGTTTAGTAAACCAGCTGGTAAATAGTCAACCCATTCAGAGCAACTAGGAGACACCTAATGTTTACTGATGGAAAGAAGACTCCAGTCTTAATTAATATGCCCTGTTGCTATGGCGATGTGTTTTTTTCTAATTGTATTTTTACATCAATTTACAGTCAACATGGATATGAACTCTGAATATACAAATATAGCATTATAATACACATGGACACATTATCCACCTTCCCTTATTGACATTCCACTTCAAAATTAAAAGAATAAGTAATTAGGTCATTTTCAAATAATAAAGCAAGCATGAAATGGTATGGACTTCTGTAATATTATATATGTGATAATGCATATTAACTTCCAATATGGAACAGAACAGAAAACCCTTTTTGATTGGATCATGAAATGCTAGATATGACATCAATCAGCAAATTTCCATATATTAAAAATGACAAAAAAACGAAAACAGGGTTAGTGTGTGTGTGTGGGTGTGTGTGAGAACAAAAGTCATTTTACAGGTGGTGGAAGTTATGTTTTGATGAAAGATGAAAAACTAATAGCATGTACTAATCAATCATGCACAATAATATGAGGGGCATTTAATAGTCAAGTAAATTTTGATTTCTTGCTGTCTTTAAATATGGCTAGTGGAAAATCACTGACAGTTATTTGCCTCTCTCAGCAGTGATTGTATTTACATGCACATTTGCTAAATGAACACACACTCAATCACACAGTCTTTGTGTTGTCATCAAGGGCTTATGCTATTTCTATGCCTGTGGGCGTTGTTTTCTTCATATTCAGTTTAAAATTACAAACTGGCATGCAGAGCACTCACACAGGAGTCGTTTCCTTAAAAACAAACACACACACAAATATGTGGCCTTTCTCCTCAGCCTACGGCTGTCAGCACTGACTTGGGAAGTCAGAGGCTATGCAACCTTAAAATAACACAGCGGTACTGTGGATAAACACAACAGAAGCCAGTATTTCAGGAGTAAAGGACAGAAGCTGAAAGCTGCCATTGGGTCATTCTTTGATCGCTCAGCTAGGAAACAAAAATAAACTAGAAAATAATTTCAGTTAAACATTACAATGTCAAATTGCCCTGTCTTTCATTTAATCTGCATTCCAATTCTTATTTAAAGGTGTAGTTCACCCCCAAAAAAGATTTACATTATTTTATGATTATTTACCTCATGTCTTCATAAATTCTTCATAAATTCTTCAGAATTATGGAAACGGCATACAGGATTGGAACAACTGAATGGTGAGAATAATAATTAACATTTGGGTAAACTGTTTCTATATAGATAGATAGATAGATAGATAGATAGATAGATAGATAGATAGATCGATCACAGATAAAGTTTGGACTGAGAATTGAATTTCTGGTCATTTAACAAAGAAAACTGAAATCCAATTCCAATTTATGTCACAGGAAATAGTGGCCTATTTGGACACTCCTAACAAACTGAATTGAATTTTCCCAAGCTGGCACACAAAATACCATTATTAACTTCAGATCTGAACTTTCAGAGTTCAAAATTGGGGATGCGGAGGTTCTGCAAAGTATGGCACAATATAACAGACCTATAAAATGCAATAGAAAACTGTCATTGAGTAATAGTGCAGCCTAGTAGTGCTGTGACTAAATGATGTTTTCGTGTATTGGGAGAGTATGTGCAGTAATTTTTCAAGAATCTAGGTTTGAATCGAGCCAGACCTCCCATGAGCCATTTTTCTGCTTCCATCTACTCTTTCCTCATCCCCATTTCCCTCTCTCTCCCTTTCTTTGGCTCTCAGACATTGATAAATTGCTCTGTGCTGTGCAGGTAATCCATCTTCTGAGACCCCAGACCCAAATCTTCGGGTCTGAGAGTATTCTCTGCCTCTGTTCTCGCTCTCGTTTCCCTCACATTCCCCTCAGCTCAAGGTTACTGTGCTCTGTAGTGCTGTTCAGAAACCATGCGACAAATTACTTCAACCTGAGAGGAGAAAAAAGAGGACAGGGAAACACGAAGAGTGAGGGAAAAAAGCTTGATATGCTGAAAAATGTGTGAAAAGGAGTGAAAGAGGACAAGAAAGA